GGAACTCTGAAAATGCCTCTTCCAAAAAAGAAGCCTCAGGGGAGAAATCTTTCCAGCTCCCAGCCTTCTTCAGTGGGCTACGTGTGCTGAAGAAGGGGTCCACCACTGATGGAGGTGAGACAATAACTGAAATTAAACCAAAGGACAGTGACCTGGCTTTGCTTAAACTGACACAGCCTGTCCAAAAATCTCGAGCCCAACCAGGGACACTCTCTAGGAAGAGTGGGGAGAAAACACCTGACCTGAAAGCCACTCCCACTCTCTTAGAGCAGATCTCTCAGTTGCTAAACATTGATATACCCAAAACTGAACAAAAAGGAGAAGTATGTGAGCAGTCCAAGGAAGAAGAGATGGGTAGTGATACTGACCAAGAGAGTCAGTGCAAGACTGAAGTCCCATCTCAGAATGAAGAAGTTAAACCTAAGCCCCCAGAGACTGCCCTGGAGGCCTTTAAAGCCTTGTTTATTCGGCCCCCTAAAAAAGGGTCGACAGCTGACACTTCTGAGTTAGAAGCCATCAAGCGGAAGATGAGGCATGAGAAGGAGTCGCTAAGAGCTGTTTTTGAGAGATCCAAGTCAAGGTCTGGGGACAGCTCATCTGATTCCAGAAGCGTACGTAGAGTTGCATTTCTACTTTAGGGCTAAATGGAGGTGGTTGTCCTTTTTCTCCACAATTTTTTTCTGGGTGACTGTTAGGAGGGGATCTGCAAATGATGGTGAGAAATGAGGAATGTTAATTATTCTGCTAACTTCTATTTGAGTTTTATAGTGAACGTTACACTCCAAAACAAAAAAAAAAAATGAGTATCATAGGTACAAAAAGCAACCTAACCATGTGCTTTCAGTTCTTAGACATTCAGTCTCAGGTTTATAATTACCATGACTTTTGGTTATGCCCTTGTAACAACTCAGTCTCTGCTTTGGAATGGACTGTATTGGGGAAAATGAATAGAATTTCATTCACTCAACAAGCATTTGTTAAGAACGTTCTATGTGCCAAACACTGTGCTAATTTATTGCTTTTAAACCTTTGCAGTTAGGAATGACAGAACCAAAAGGGACTGGACATTGAGTTTGGGGCCCTGAGTTGCAGAATATGGTGTAGTGGAAAGAATCGTGGATTTAGAATCAGAAAGTCATGGGTTGTACTTCCACTTACTATCTCTGGGATTTTGGACAAGTCACATTCTCTTTGGTCTCAGTTTCTTTATGTCTCAAATGAAGGAATTACACCAGAACCTCTTAACTTCTTTTGGTCTATATTTATCATTGGCCCCCTGGGTGGTCTATTAAAACCTATAGCCAGAACCGTTTCTTTAAAAAACAAAATAGTTTTAAAATATATGAGATTACAAGGAAACAATTATATTGAAATAATTATCAGAATATTAAAGAGAAAAGTTCACTACCCCAGGCTAAGAACCCTTATTCTAGAGGGTTTCTAAATTCACTTCTAACCCTGACATGTGCTTCTCTGATACTCCTGAAAGGGATAATCAAATAGTTTCCCCTATTTGTAAGAAATTCATAAAGATGAAAGAATTCAGGGGAGAATGTTGGTAAAAATATAATACTTAGATCCAAGATACCTAAGATTGGTAGGCGGTATAGTGGATAGAGTACTTGTCCTGGCACGAGAAGGACCTGAGTTCAAATCCTACCTCAGACACTTACTAGCTCTATGAACTTGGGCAAGTCACTTAACTACTGCCTGCCTCAGTTTCCCCATCTGTAAAATGGGGAAAATAATATCACCTACCTCTTAAGATTGTTGGGAGGATCAAATGAGATAAAGTCTGTGAAATAATTAGCAGATAGTAGGTGCTTGATAAGTGCTTGTCTCCTTCTAATCTCAGCTTTGTGACTATCAACCTTTTTAATCACTTTACCTCTCTTCCTTCATCTAGGAAATAGAGAGGGTGACCCTGTGACCTTCTAAGATGCTTTCTAGCTCTATTATTCTGTGATATGAGCTGGCTTTTCATTCATTCTCTTCCTCACAAGTACCAGCTGCAAAAATTGAGCATGGCAGAGTATAGAAAGAGAACCATAGGCTTTCCTTTAGTAAGCATATTTAAAATTTTAAGGAAGACAACATGCAAAAATAAATTAATACTAGGGAAGAGACGAAAAGTAAAAAAAAAAAAACCAAAACAACAACAACAAAATAACCCCCAAAATTGGGATTTGGGAGTCCTGGGATCTATTTTGTTACTTTAAGTGGATAACTCTGGAAAGGCTGAATGAAATAGTTTCTCCATCTGAATGTTAGGGAATACTGGGGGGGGGAGGGAGAATAATAATTTTAGTTTCTTTAATATGAATAATGCTAGAATAAATGGGAAATGAAGCAAATTGATGTATCTGAACAGCATAAGTAAAAGAACCAGATTTATTCAGAGTATCTAGGTTTGAATCCTGGCTTACATGACAAATCACTTAACCTTTCAGTTTCTCAATTTCCTTAGTTGCAAAATGTGAGGGTTGGGATAGACCATCTCTAAGATTCCTTCTAAATCCTATGATTCCTTTATCATAAAACTAAAATAGTAATTTCCTAAAATTAACAAATATCTCTCCAATACATAAAATGAGATCTTATATAACACTAAAATTTTCTGTTGGAATATTTACTCATAGTGTTTTGACTTACCATTATAAATTTGGAGTTAAGGACATCGAAGGATATGGGTTTGAATTTCTGTTCTGTCACTTTACAATCCGTGTGTCTTTGGGCCTATCACTTAACCTCCCTAGGCCTCATTTTCCTCATTTATAAATTTATGCAGTTAGACTAGATGATCTTTGAGTCCTTCCCAGCCCTAAATCTATGATCCTATGATTTGTATACCTTGGAGAAAATAATTTCATGGAATAAGTGCAATAAGTATGAAGACACAATACTATGCCCACTGGGGAAACTGGTTGCTTTAGAAAATAATTTAGCTTTCGCTAGAAAACAATTTTAACTTGAAGGTCATTTTGCTCTTTTTTTCAAAGGCATATCAAGGAAATGAAAGAATTAGATATTGAGGAGGACCTGGAGAGCCATGGTTTGACCAGTAGTTATAGGAAAAGACTGTCCTCACACTTTTACAGAACCCCTGAAATTGCTTGGACACCCTACAAACTTTACTATCAATGTAAAAGTCGTGTCTTTAATTTCAAGTCTAATTAGTGGTTTTTTATAACTCTAGGACCAAGTATATATGAAGAGGAAACAGGCAAATTTTCATAAATATGGATATAGGAACTAGGCTTGTAATTTCATATGTGTATATATATATTCCCTGTCCTATAGGGAATCCCCAGGTGAGAATACTCTCTCCAACCTTGCAGGTTGTTAACTTCTCAACAACATGTTTAGAGCATTGAAATTTCAAGTGACCTGATCAGGGTCACACAGCCAGTATGTGTCAGGTGGAACTTGAACCCAGGTCTTCCTGACTTTGAGGCCAGCTCCCTAGCCACTATGCCATGTTGCTTCTATTTCATAGGCATATTTAGTTGTATTATATCTTAAATGTGTATGTCTGTGTGGTGTCTGAATATATAGTATTCCTAGTTTCTGTAATAATAACTTCAATCCAACAAACATTTATTAAATAACAACTATGTTCAAGACATGGTGATAAGTGTTCGTAATTCAAAGATGAACAATAGGGGTAAGGGAGTATGGGTAAGGATAAGACCTACATACAAATAAGTATGATACAAGGTAGAAGGTGATACAGGCAAAGGAGGCATTCCCAGCTACCAAATAAAACATAGCTTTCATTTTTAAACCATTTATTGAACAGACACTTGTTAAACACTTGCTAAAATGCAAGGTCCTTTGATAAGCATTTGGTATACAGAGGAGAATAAAACTGGTAAAAATGTGTCCAGAGTAAGACAACCATGATAGTAATAGGAACTCTCAACTATGTCACTGTAGTGCCCATTAAAGGAATCAGAAATGTTTAACCTGGGCAAGAGAAACCATAGGGGCTAAGGGGGTAGGCATATCATAGCTGCCTCTAACAGCTATCATGTGAAAGTTGGAAAAGGCTTGCTCTGTAGAACCTCAGAGCGAAGAACATTAGAACCGAAGAGTGGAAGTTAGAAGGAAGTAGATTGTGGATCAATAGGAGGAATAGTTGTTTCCCCCCCACCCCACTAGATTATCCAAAAATCGAATGGATTGCCTCATGAGCTAGTAACTTCATTATTACTGAAGGTATTCAAGTAGCTACAAGATAACAAGTTACTATGGACATTCTTTTCTTTTTTTAAATTCATATAAATGAGTTTACTTCTGAGGTCTCTTCATATTTATTCTCTCATTCTCTTTTATGAGAGTTCTAACCAGAAAGATAAAAGAACTATGTAGAGGTAACCTTTAAAAATTCTTTTTCTGCAAAAGAAAATTGGATAGGATTTAGAGCTAGAAGAAGTTCTTGAATCTGGGTTTGATGAATTTGTGTTCTGAAAAAAAATTTTTGATAACTCTATTTCATTTACAAACAATTTCCTTTTTGTAATCTTATATATTTAAGAGCATTATTCTCAGAAGGGGACTATAAGCTCGATCAGGTTGCTAAAAGGGTCACTGAAACAAACAAAAAAATTAAAACTCTGCTTTAGAGCATTTAATTTCACTCCCTTAAGGCTCTCTACACAATAAGAAACAGAATTGAGATCTGAACCTGGTTTCTCCTAGCATATATTTAGTTCTCTTAAAATTGATCTTACTTATTAACTCACTATAACATATTAAACTAATATGATGCTAAGATTTAGACTGCTTTTGTTTTTACCACAACTGATCATTTTAAATCACTGGAATAGAACCACATTGGTAACAAAATACACTCTTCATTGTGTGGATTAAATGAGATAAAGATAGAGATAACTGGCATCATTAAATTTTAGCAGCCAAAAGAATGGATTGATACTGGCCACCTTCTATTCAACTTTCTTCCTCACCCCGCCTTCTTGCCCTCTTTTTCTTTAAAATAGGCTGACCAGAGTCCCACTGAGCAGGATGATAGAACTCCTGGACGACTCCAGGCTGTGTGGCCACCTCCAAAGACAAAAGATGAAGAAGAAAAAGTGGGATTGAAGTACACAGAAGCAGGTAAAATGAAAGGGGAGTGGTGCCCATGGTGCCACAAATCTGTCATGACAACTGAGGATTTTGTTTTGTTTTTAATGCTGTCAAATGGATCTAGTCTTCACTGGATTTTTGCATTTTATTGTCATATTATGCCTTTGCTTCTGAGGATTCCCTATTGCAGTGACCCTCAAACAATCTGTTGTTAGTAAGTCTGTTCTAGAAGATGGAGAATAAATGCAGTGAAATGACCTGAGCTCTCTCTGTGTGGAATGCTCTGCTGTTGTGTCTTGGGATTGCCTAGAGTGTATAAATTACAAATTGCTTGGGAAGATGAGAGTTGGCTCTCATGCAGCAATTTAGAGGGATCAAGTAGGATTGCTTTCTTTTGTGGGTGATGAGGAGAGTATGCTTTAGGGCATTGATTCTCTAGAGTTGTGTAATCTGATGTGCTGAGTAACTAAGGCTGGAGGGAAGTTGGGCCAAGTGAATGTACAGATGCTTTATCAGTTGTTCCTTCTCCTTTGTTGTGCAATGCATTATTTATTCCAAGGCGAGTTCTAAATCTGCTTGATTTACTGGGAAACTTCCCAGCAGCTTTGCCGTGCTCTATAAGAGAAGAGAAGTCTGGGTAAATGGACCCTTTGAGTAGAGCTTACAAATGGAGACTTCCAGATAACAGAAGTGTAGAAACACAAAATAGCTACATTGTATATGTATATGTATAATACATGTTTATAATGAAACCTGTTAAGGGTTGGGATGTGAATGGACTCATATCTGAAGATTGTCTATTTGCAGAACATTTTTGTGATTGTAGCTATGATTTTATTAGATTTATGTACACATCCATAACTTAGCACAAGGTCATGACGGTTTTGGTTCAGGAAACTAAGATCTGGGGAACATTCATTCTCCCTGAGGCAACAACCATCTTCCCATATCTCATTTTGTGGTCTTATGGAAGCAACTGACCTCAGGGTCTCATTGCCATGGTGTGTCTTGTGTGTACAAGGGCTTGACTTGACTTTGGATTATAAACTGCCCCCTACCTAAAACATCTCTTGCAATGGTAGTAGGACTATTTTATGCCCCCACCCACCACACTGAATTGCCCCAGGCAATCATTTCATCTAGTTATGTTTCTGTTTATATATGTATTTTTTCTTTAATCACAAGTGGCCATGGTAAGTAGATAGAATTTGGGAAGTTACATAATTTGATGATTTTGCACAATGAATTGTCTTTCATTGATTTTCTAAAAGGGTTGAGGCTTGTCATGTCACTCTTTAAAAACTTAGACTCAAACAACCCCATAAATTTTGCCTGAGTATTTTTGAATGACTAACATCTTGATAGGACTTTTGAGATTTATTTCACAAACATTTCCTCAGGTTTGATTACTAGAATTAGAATCTCTGTAGCTACGTCTAAAGCTAATCAGCTATGTTTTGCTACTTGAATCCTTTTATGGCAAATTTGGAAAATGAAATGTAGCTATCTTAGCAAAATTTTAACTGTCTTACTTAGCAATACTATTATTATCACATTGTTTTTCTCTAGATCAGTCATGGTTTGGATGTTTGGAAAACATACTATAATGAGGTTTAGTGAAATGACAGAATTCTGTTAGCTGACATTGATGACCTTAGTCTATGACCTTTCTTTACTCAGTTTTCCTGAAGGTAAAATGGTTACTTTCTGTTAAAGTACTTAGCAAGGAGATTAAAGGGAACATATTCCTGTAGTTTGTTTCTTGATTTCTCTCCCTACTACCCAAATCTTCACTAGTTTTTTCTAGTCTTGTTTCACGTGCCTGAGGAAAATTCTAACTAGATATTCTTGGCTTAGACCATGGTAATAATGTTGCCTTTTTTGCCTGAAGCCTAGACTTTGTAGATACTAGGTTCCTTTGACTTGAGACCAAGTGGCTTGGCCTCTGGTCACTCAACTGTACATTTGTTTGTTGCTTATTAACGTGACCTCACCTTACTCTACCCCTTGTTTTCTCTTAGTCTAAGTCTCTCTGAGCTGATGGATATAAGGTGTCTTTCTACTTTTTACTTTCTACTCATCTGAATTATGGCTTAAGCAGGCTTGGGGTTTTTACCCTATGAAAGTAGATCCTGTGTTCCCAAATGGATCTGTGATCTCATGGGTTCTGGTATTCCCTCCAGTGATGCAGATTGAAACCCATCCATTTTTGTCCAGTGTATGTAACTCGACCATCTTTTCCCCAAAATTCCTCTACAGGAGATCCACAGCATAGGTACCAGTGTTAAACTCTGGCTCTTGCCATGTGAGCAACTCACTTTCTTTTCTTGTCATACAATTCCTTTATGACCTCCTTACTCCTAGTATATAGATTTCCTCATTGGTTCTATGTTAAAGCCTGTTCAGACTATCTTGAGCCTCTCCATTCCTTTTTGTGGTATTTTTCAGTCCTTCAGATACAGCCATGTTTCATGACTCACTGTCTATAGCAACATTGTTAGTATTGAGCAGATGGGCCTTTACTTTTTTTTTTTTAGGAAGATGCTCTTTACTATATGGTTTTATAATATCTAAAAAGATTTATAGGTCATATGACAATGAAACCGCCATATCCTCACTGAAATGAGTTGAAGCATAGAATACTAGAAGATGGATTTGGAGCCAGAGAATCTGGGTTAGAATCTTAGATCTGTACCACTTTTGTTAACTTAGACAAGTCATCATCAGTCAGCTAATCAATTTCCTCATCTGTTTAAAAAAAAAATGAATAGGCCCATGAAGATCCTTTCAGATAATTGGGTAGAGGCAGTTTACCAGAGGAGGTCAATCAGACTATTATTTGAAAGCCTATTATTTTGTACATTTTTGCTGGACATTTAATAAAATGCAACCCTTACCCTAAAAAATCTTATAACCTACTTTAGGAGATTAAAAAGCTGTTTGGTTTTTTTTTTTTTGTTGTTCCTATAATACTAGTCTTGAGTAAATTATTCTTTCCTTCTGCTTGTCTTTGAACTCATCCACTCTTGAAAGAATATAATTTTAGCACATAATTTTTAATGTATTCTGCAAATCTAGATCCCTGGATCTATGTACTTGGGGTGGGGGGGGGCAAAGAGAAACATAGGAAACCTCTCTCTACTCTTGAGTCCAGTCAAGTTCCGCAGGAACATGCTATGCTCTTTTCTTATTTGTCTGTACTCTGGGCCAGTCCCAGGTAAATCTGAGAACTAGACAGTTACTTCGGAGGCAGCAAAGTGGTATAGCAGATAGAGTGCTAGACCTGAAGTTGGGAAGTTCTGAGTTCAAATCCAGTATTATTAGCTGTGTGACCTTAGGCACATCACTTAACCTCTCTTTGCTTCAGTTTCCTCAACTGTGGAATGGGGATAATAATAACACTAAACTTCCAGGGTTGTTGTGAAGATCAAATGACATAATATTTGAAAGTTCTTAGCATGATGCCTGACACATAGTAGATACTTAATAAATGTTTGCTTCCTTCCTCCCTTCTTCTTAGCAGTCATTTTCCTATTTTAAGCAGTTCCTTCCCTGTTGACATCTAGAGGGGGCAACCTGATATCTTAGGCCTGCCCAGCCACAGCTGGCTTCCTAATGGTTTGTTGTTGCCTTAATCTCCCATATTGGAAATCCAGTTGCCCAAGAAGCTCTTCATCTTATACTGAGAGTGGGTGAATGCATGTACAATGAGAGGGTCTGACTAGATGACCTTTAGGTCCCTTCTAACTCTTTAAAAAAAACCTTTTTTTCCAATTACATGATACATTCATTTTTTAAAATTTTGAGTTCCAATTCTCTCCCTTCCTCCCTCTCAACTCCACTCATTGAGAAGGCAAGCAATTTGATATAGGTTATACATATGTCATCTTACAAAACATATGTCCATATCAGTCACATTGTAAGAAAAAAAGTAAAAGAAAGTTTAAAAATTTAAAAAAAAATTTATTATTAATTTATTTATTTTTAGTTTTCAATATTCACTTCCACAAGATTTTGAGTTCCAAATTTTCTCCCCATCTCATCCCTCCCTCCACCCCAAGATGGCATGCATTCTGAATACCCCTTCCCCTAATCTGCCCTCCCTTCTATATCTCCCCCACCTTCTCTTATCCCCTTCCCTTCAATTTTCCTGTAGGGCAGGATAGATTTCTATATCCCATTGCCTGTATATCTTATTTCTCAGTTGCATGTGAAAACAATTTTTTAAACATGTGTTTTTAAAACTTTGGGTTTCAAATTTTGTCCTTCCTCCCTCCCCACCCACTCTCATTGAGAAGAGAAGCAACTCAATACAGGTTATATATGTGTAGTCATGCAAAACACTTCCATAGTAGTCATGTTGTGAAAAGCTAAGTGTATTTCCCTTCATCCCATCCCATCCCCTGTTTATTCTGTTCTCTCTTTTGATCTTGTCCCTCCTCAGAAGTGTTTGCTTCTGATTATCCCCTCCCCCAATCTGCCCTCCCTTCTATCATATCCCTCCTATTATTCCCTTCCCCCCTATTTTCCTGTAGGGTAAGATAGATTTCCATACCCAATTGAGTGTGTATGTTATTCCTTCCTTAAGCCAAATCCAATGAAAATAAGATTTACTCATTCTCTCTCACCTTCCCCCACTTCCCCTCCACTGTAACAGCTTTTTCTTGTCTGTTTTATGTGAGATAATTTACCCCATTCTACGTCTGCCTTTCTCCTTCTCCCAGTATAATCCTCTCTCACCCCTTAATTTTATTTTTTAGATATCACCCTTTCATCTTCAACTCACCTTGTGCCATCTATCTATCTATCTATCTATCTATCTATCTATCTATCTATCTATC